AATGTTTAGATGACAGGAATGAATTTCAAAATTGACTTCTCACTCAAACGTACTTGCGGATTCCAGCTGAGGTGGGTCAGTATGCAGCCGTTCATATCCCACTTCACAGTCACGCTGAGATGCTCCCTCTCCATGTGTTGTACTTCTGGGAGGACAACGCCTACATTCAACATGATCACAGCTGCCCATCATACAAGCTGAATGAAAACCATCATTATAACTGTGCATACAGAACTGGACAGTGATCTCAAATTCTTTATGAGCTTTCAAAAAAGTAAGAGTTGTGAGAGAAAAATGTTGCAATTACCTTTTTTTATTCCATGGAGGAAACAAAGGATTGTGAGACAGAATTGCGAGACAGAATTCTCTGAATTAACTCAGAAAAGGAAAGAAGAAAAAGAAATAAACTCAGAATTCTAAAAGTCAGAATTGTGAGATATAAACTCGGAATTATGAGGGAAAAAAAGGAGGAATTGTGAGATAAAAAGTTTCACATGGTGAACAGAAGACGACTCACTATTTTGAGCAGCGTATATTGTTCTTGAGGATGTCGATATCGAATCACACCACATCTGGATATGAGCTCCATTTCTTGACCTCCACTGAACACATACACACAAAGCATTAAACAAGGAGGGGAAAAAAGGAGGAATTGTGAGATAAAAAGTTTCACATGGTGAACAGAAGACGACTCATTATTTTGAGCAGCGTATATTGTTCTTGAGGATGTCGATATCGAATCACACCACATCTGGATATGAGCTCCATTTCTTGACCTCCACTGAACACATACACACAAAGCATTAAACAATATATTGTATGCAGACAATAAGCCTATAAAAAACTGAATTGCCATAGTACAATTTTATAAAAATTTACATTTAAATTTTATACACTGACCAATTTTCCAGAGGTTTTGAAGGATCAAGACTTGTTTATGTTGGATTAGCATGCAAATGCATAAACATCTGCATTTTCATATACAATATGTTTACCTGAGCTTGCGACACCTTACAAAGATGAATACAACAGCAAATGAGAAAGAGAAGAACCAGAATGGCACACACTAGACCAGCAGTTAGGACTGGAGAGAGCAACAGGCTGCCTGGAGATCTTACTGAAACACACACAATGTACAATTTTTTCACTGTATATATCACTGTAAACATACAAGCTAACTCTACATTTAAAGGACAATGTCAGTGGAGCTTTTCTGTGCAAAAATCCTCTCTATGATGCCAGGGCATTGCTATGCGGTTGCTAAGATGCACCAAGTGGTTTTTACTATTTTATTCTATTCTATTCTATTCTATTCTATTCTATTGTATTATATTATTGTACAAAAGGTACCAGTTTGTAGTAAGAACAATAGTGATGTTTGTCTTAAACACCACTTAATGCTAGTTATAGGTACAACAATAAGCAATGTTAAAGTTCTTGAAAATCAAGCAAGCATTTTTCTTTATCAAGGGTGCAATTTAAAATGCTTAAACATGATTTATTTATTTATTTTCTCTTAAAAATAGATTCTCCTTAGATTGTCAATTAAAACATTGTCGTGTTTCTCGCACATAGATATAAAGAGGCTCCTGGTCCTCTTGGGCAAAACTTAGGTCCAGTAGAAGCTCTTGGGCATCTTGTTTAGGGATCCAGTTGGTCCATAATGTTTTGGGATCCTTATTCAATGCCGGGTTACAAGCTTGGTAGACAGAGTGTGCATAGTCCTTTCCAAGCTGCATTCGTGCTTCCTTCCACTTACATTGACCAAAAGAGAAGCAAATCATTATTTTGATTCATTATTCAAAGGTTAATTATTAAAATTTACCAGTATTAAACAATACATCTGTTAACCTGTTTTATTTGTTTATTATCTGTATAAAATAATAAATTATTATCTGTATAACTATTTTTTTTAAGAGTAGACTATACGTTTATTCAGCAAGAAAGCATTAAATTGATTAAAAGAAAATAACATTAAAGACATTTATAATGCTATAAAACATGTTATGTAAAACATATTAAAACATGTAATGTTATAATGTTGTACATAAATGCTGTCAAAATTTCTACATAGAAAAAATTTATCACAGTTTCCACAGAAATATTAAGCAGGACAACTGTTTTCACCATTGATAATAATAAGAAATGTTTCTTGAGCAGCAAATCAGCATATTAGAATGATTTCTGAAGCATCATGTGACACTGAAGACTGGAGTAAATGCTGAAAATTCAGATTTGCTATCACAGTACTAAATTGCAATTTTAAAATATTAATTAAAAAATTAAATAAAAACATAAATAGAAACAAAATATAGGATTTTTTCCCCCGGTTTTTCAAACACTGTTTTACCGAACTCTTATAAGAGACTTTCTTCAAAAACGTTTGAACAATAGTGTATTTATATCAAATAAACCATTAATAATAAAAATGTAATTACGAACACTGCTAATTCTGGGAAATGGATCAATGAATTAACGATTTTTTTTTAAAGAAAATATTTAGCCTATTATTAAACATAATAAACTTTAGGTAACAGACTTTCTTCGTTAAAGTCATTGTTTGTATTCATGTGGAACACAAAGACTTTAATTTGTGAAATTACCTAAATTTAAAGAAACTGCCACTTACAGCTTTTGATGGTGAGAATGTTCATTGTAGGCTGCGCTGTTTACTTGAATCAAAGATTTCTTCTGAAATTAAATGCACTTTTATAGTGGTTTATTACATTTCCATCCTATAATAGAAGCATACTCCTCAGTCTTACCTCTGATTGGTGCTAGCTGTGCGGACATATCAGCGGAGACAATCCATGAAATGAAAAATATAAAAACATATTGAAAAAAACTTTCCTTTATTCTGATAAAGGTTTGTATTTTTTTTTTCCACGATTACTTCTGAATAGAGTTCAAACTTCAGTAGTGCTTAGCGATAGTTTCAGTTCATTGAATGAATCGTCTCAGGTTACTTATGTAACCATGGTTCCCTGAGTAGGGAACGAGACACTGCGTCCTCTAGGGGTCGCTATGGGGAACGCCTCGTCGTGACCCGTGTCTGAAGCATACATTGAAAAAACACCAACTCGTTGGCCGGCGACAGCCATGACGTCACTACCGGTGCGACTATAGTATAAATAGGCGACGGGAGCTACACATCATTCACTTCTTCGTCTGAAGCTTGCATCCGCAGCATGGCAAGAAACCTAGAGGACGCAGGGTCTCGTTCCCTACTCAGGGAACAATGGTTACATAAGTAACCTGAGACGTTAGC